GGGAGAGTAAAAGGGTTTGCAGTTGATAACAAGAGTCTCTAGGTCTGCGGTACATGTCCTCTGTAGCACTGACATCTGTGCACCAACCTTCATTTATGTAGAAGCAGATTCCACCTCCTCTCGTTTTCCCGGACAACTCCTTTACACGATCCGCTCTGAACACCTGAAAACCTGGTATTCGAATCCCGCTGTCCGTGATCGAGTCGCTGAGCCAGGTCTTCGTGAAGCACAAAGCAGCAGAGTGTGCAAAGTCGGAGTTAGTCCTGTTGACATCCTGTTGGCCACGGTGCGGAGATTAGCCAGGTGAATAGGTGGGAGCGAGGTCCGTGTTCTCCTCTGTCGTAACCGCACCAAAGCGCCAGAGCGTTTTCCACGTCGCCGACATTTTTTCCAGGTCCCGTATATTGCTGCTGTGCCTCCGATCAGAATGTCCATACCACATTCTTCGTTCACAAAAATCGGAGGAAGGTAGTTTGGTGTGAGTTTTCCGATATTTAACAGTTGTTCTCTGGTAAAAGTAATCCGGGATGAGTTGCAAAAGACCAAGAGAACAAAGAAAAACAACAAACACAAGAGAGCACGAGTAACCACAGCCGCCATCGCTGTCGGCGCCGGAAGTTTTGAGATTTGAGTTATTGATCATTCTGATGATAAGGTGAATATTTGAGTGAGAACGACTGTAGTGCGTTTTTAAAGACTTGAACATTACTGTTTAAATTCAATATGTGTTTAAATATGTTTATTAAATGCAAGTCAGCAGGATTTTTAAGTGTATAATAGATGTTTAAAATGCAGGCAGTCATTTTAACCTTGATGCTTTTCCACCTGCAAATCACAAAATCATCATTATTACTGGGTGAGACTAAATAAACCTGTCTGATCTAAGCTCATCTGCTGCCACCATCTTACAGCTGAATACATCTATTTAGTAACGTTCCAGTCCTTCACCATCCATCACCGAAACGTTGGCTAAACAAGTGGATGAGTGGAGAAACATGCAGCAGTCTGTGTTCTCCTACTCACACTGTCACTGCTGCTGTGTCTTTAAAGTTGAAAACTCAGAGTTCAGGGTTCAGACTGAGTTTGTCAAACCTGCTTTCTGGACCCCCCACCCCCACCACCCGGGTGTGACTGAACTTCTTTAATCTCACCCGACAGCCTGGGCGACCTCATCCCACTCGATGTCTGCGGCATCATCCACACGCATGTTGTACAACCTGAAACACACGAACCACATGTGCCAAACCACCTCGACATTAAAGAGCCTCAAACACCGGTCTAGGTGTGCGCTGTGATCTTACGTGTTTATGAGGTTGATTTTAGTCTTAAGTCCTTCAGGCCCTCTGTTGAATGCGGTGCCACCTGAAGAGAGTTTGAACTTCAAGATGGTGAACCTGAAACAATGAGGACACACATGAACACCCAGATAACTTCTGTCTTGTCTTTGAGGGTTTGTAATTTATCACACTAAAGTAAATGGTTTGATACTTGTATAGCGCCTTTCTACACTTTTACAGCACACTCAAAGCGCTTTCACATTATTCGGCCATTCACCCATTCGCACTCTCAAGCACTCACACACCGGTGACATCACCGGGAGCAACTGGGGGTTCAGTGTCTTGCTCAAGGACACTTCGACATGTTGACTGGACAAGC